AACACTTGGATCATCGAAATATTTCTTTCAACAACTTCCACGTTAAAATCGAATGTGATGATTACTCACAAATAGTAATGTGTAGTTTATCTTTCACTCCATAAATTATTTACTAGTTTTACACCTTGGTTAATGTGTCACCCCATCCACTCTTTTACTACTTTTACTCCTTAGTTAATGTGACACCTCATTTTTTCTTGTACTAGTTTTACTCCTTGGTTAATGTGACACCCATTTTTTCTTGTACTAGTTTTACTCCTTGGTTAATGTGACACCCCATCTTTTCTTGCACTAATTTTACTGCAATTAAAATGTATATGTAGTATTTCTTACAGAACGTGATATAATAATTATCTATATAACCTAGTAAAATATTATTCAAAACTTTCACACAATATATATATATATAAAGTAAATATGATACATTTTCCATTAGAACAAGTTATATTGGTATAAAAACAAATAAGCACAGAATAGACGTTGGAGCCGGAGAGGCACGTGCCCCCAATAATTAAATTGGGGACCCGAATTTCATTGCCCCTTCCCCCAATATTTTGCTGACAATTTTTTTATTTGATATTTTTTCCACGCAGTCGGGTGACTCTGCCACCCTGAATGAAAGATTAAAATTCCTTGGCAAATTCTAAACGTTCCGCTGTTAGTGTATCTGTATAATGTGTATACTGGTTATGATGCGACACATTCTTATTATTTGTAAAACTTACGATTTTGTAGAACACAGCAAACAGTTTAGTTTGTATGTAAAATACATTACTGTTGTTACGTGAAATTTGTGAATAATATTTCAAAATGTTTTTATTGAATGCTAGACAATTTTTTATTCGACTACCACCCCTTACCCCAATATTTTGTACGTTCCGACATGCCTGGTTAATTTTAGTACGATATACCGTGTAAGATATATTTAATTATACGATAAAATATTCTTTTTTTTTAATTATAGAATAATAAGACGTCTTGCCCCCCCCCCCCCTAGTGGGCAACGCAAGAAACCCGGTTTCGATACCCGGGTGGGCAGAGCACAGATAGCCCTTGTGTAGCTTTGTGCATAATTAAAAACAAACAAACAAGCTTCAGTCTTTTAAAACTCTGAAGTTAATATTCTTCTCCACACACGTGAGCACGTGATAAACATGGCAAAAGATATATATATTCACAATTAGTTTTAAGATTAAGGTCCACATTAAATAAATAAATAAAAAAAACCTCAAAAATATCACTCCTTGCCAGAAGACGCTTTTCAATTTCATGATTTTACTTTATTGAAGTTTAAATATAACGAGTTTCTAATTCGACCCACAAATTGTGTGCTTTCAAAAATGTGTGAAACGGGTTTTGTCTGTTTGTTTAAAGCAAAGTCACACTGGGCTATCTGCTGTGTCCACAGTTGGGTATACAACCCCTGATTTTAGCGTTGTAAGTCCGTAAATTTACTGCTGTCCCACCGTACGTGAAATGGGTGGTATTCAAATTCGATGACGAGGAACCCACTTTGAGACAAATAATGGTTGGAGACGGCTTGAATGGGTAATGAAGGTACCTGATGATGACAAAACCTTGTCGAAACATTGTACATTTGCTATTGTGTTAAACTTATATTGAAGTTTTTCTTCATTACCCATTCAAGCCGTCTCCAACCATTATAAATGGTGGTATATTTTAGGTTAATGTCTACAGTGAGGTGCCACGGTTTGCAGGAAAAATGTTCCTAAAAATAACGATTTCTATCTCACTAATCAGTAAGTTTGAGGGTTTACAATGATAAAATTCGAGATTCGAACACTGCTTTGCGCTTAACAACAAAACAAGCTTCTCTATAAATAATTTTACGTTCTCTAAATTATACCGTACTTTCAAAATAAATGATTTTCACGACTCAAATACAAAAATCGATTTTAAAAGAATGGAACTCAACGGTAAGCGTGAAGGTTTATAACGCTAGAAATCGGGTTTCGATACTCGTCGTGTTAATAGAAAACAGAAGAGAAAATTTGTAGGCATATATATTTTTTTTCTACATAGAAATATGCCACAACAATATGTGCGTAAAATATTATTATTATGCTCATTTGGTATCAACACCTAAGACTAAGAGTGTAAAATGTAAAAACTACGATTTAATATCCTGTATAGCTTAAAAGTAAAATCTCAAAGTGCGTTAAAACTTACAAATGATTCATCATAATATTTTTGAATGTATATCAGTTACATATCAGAAATCACAGAATATTCAAACTAAAATAATATATTTTTTTCTCTCTATCCCATACATGAATTATCGACAATGTTACAATCTGTCTTGTTTTTGGTTGGTAATTTTAAAAAAAAGGACTGGTCACACTGTTTACAGTGAACGTTCACTTGTTCTAACATGTGATATTTAAGGAATCTGTCTTGTTTTTGGTTGGTAATTTTAAAAAGGACTGGTCACACTGTTTACAGTGAACGTTCACTTGTTCTAACATGTGATATTTAAGGAATCTGTCTTGTTTTTGGTTGGTAATTTTAAAAAGGACTGGTCACACTGTTTACAGTGAACGTTCACTTGTTCTAACATGTGATATTTAAGGAATCTGTCTTGTTTTTGGTTGGTAATTTTAAAAAGAACTGGACACACTGTTTACAGTGAACGTTCACTTGTTCTAACAACGTGATATTTAAGGACAGCATATATCTTACACTCGCCTATTTTAGTTTTACATAATCTTAACGACATGATTTTCTTTACCTTCTAGTTTCATACCGACATCTAAGCACTTTTGAAACCGACAGTATGGACATCGCTTCCTCTGTGTTTTGTCAATAAGGCAGTTTCTGTCAGCAACGCACGTGTAAACTTTCTTGTTCTGGACAGTCCTCTTAAAAAATCCTTTACAAGATTCGCAGGTCAGTAGACCATAATGATAGCCAGAGACTTTGTCCCCACAAACTGGACACAACTCTTCAATCCCTTCTTTAGTGTCTGGCGGGTCATATGGGAACTGACCACTGAGAGTCGCCGGCGGAGGAGCAGGAAGTGTCGACGGTACACTGTTGAGAATGGCCGCTGATCCTGCAGGTATGTAACAGTTGTCCATTAGATTTGTTGCGGTCATCATTTTAAAAAACTAATTTCGAACTTATTTGCTACAAAGTATTTGTCGTTTCTCCATTCAACACAACGTGGTGTTGTTTTGTACTCATAGAACACCAAGTGGTATGAAACTTATAACGCGCTTTTTATCTCGTGTCTCAGTAAGTAAGCATCAAACAAAACTCCCATGCGAATGATAAGGGCCCTAGCGACGAATTTTGTCTTTACCCCAACATACAGGTACACTACACTCTACAAGTAGTTGGGTCTATGTCACGCGGAGCGCACGCCTGCAGGCCTAGTGACCTACTAACGGCCCAGTACTTTGGCCAATCAAATCACACCATACCTCGCTGCACGTGAAACATGAAAGAGAAAGTAAATATTACTTTCCATTCTCTCAGAAGCCATATGTAGTAGAGAGAGAGTAGTGTCGTGAATTTATAAGAGTGACTGATTGGATAGTTTCATTCAGGATCTATCAGTAAATTTGATTGGTTGAAAATGTTTAACTGTTACTGTTGCAAGTAAAAAAACGTAGAAACGCGTATTTTAAAATGAAGTCATAAGAAAAAACTGGTCACCAGAGTGCAGTACGTTATAAGATAATAAAAATTCCTTGGTGTAAATAACAAACGAATATAAAACAGAGGCGTAAAATATTTTATTTCTCCCTACTTCTGCAACGTAACGTTTCTGTTTTATGTTATTTGCACCTGCCAGCGTTTCATTACTATTCAACATTTCGTCACAGTGTGACTGTATTTCTATAAAAATATGTAGATGTTTCTTGACTTTCGAGTTTCATATTATATTTTAGTTTTCGAAAAGTACCTTCACAAACAGTATCAGAGCGAGCTAGGCCTATTTTATCTGTATATCATTTGAGTGAATATAAATTGGAAATACTGAGTTTTTTTTTAAAGCAAACAAAAATTCGTTTTCGATACCAGGGTCTAATTCGCTGCCTCCCTAAATTATCGCCAGACGATACAAAGCAACTACAACGAAAAACAATTTATATGTGAACATTATGTCGTTTTGACAATACAGTTAGGGAAAAAAACGACCTTTACTCTACAGATAACGATAAAAAAAATAACTTTATTTCACCCAATGTTTCGCCATTGCGGCTTTAACAGGACAAGTAAAGGTCGTTTTTTTTTATAACTTTATTGTCAAAATGTCTAAATCCCTCCAGTATGCACCACAAATTCTGTAAAACCATTGAATAATTTGCCAGCTTTTTTATATATTTATTTTGATTTCACGAAAGTCCACGAATCAGTACTGGTCTTGGGACCGGTGATTGAGAGACAGTGGACTAGAGCATTCTTAAAACCTTCTTTATCGTTCACTGGTTGATCCGCTAACAATAAACCAAACCATAAAACTTGATGTTTACTGGTGACTATTCGTTCTTGAGTTTCGCACAAAGCTACCCGAGGGCTATCTGCGCTAGCCGTCCCTAATTTAGAAATGATAGACCAGAGATAAGGCAGCTAATCGACACTACTACCGCCAACTTTTGGGCTACTCTTTTATTAGCGAACAATGGGATTGACCATATTTAGAAATGATAGACCAGAGAGAAAGCAGCCCAAAAGTTGGCGGTAGTAGTGTCGACTAGCTACTCTTTTATTAGCGAACAGTGGGACTGACCGTACACTTTGGACGAGAGAGCATGTTTGATAATGGGGTTTCGAACCCGCGACTCGTAGATTGCGAGTCGAGCGCCCCAACCATCAGGTCATTCTAGGCCTTCAACTAAAAAGAACAAACCTCCACAAAAATAATATTATTTGCCTAAAAAAAAAGTACAATTACACAACCTTTTAAATTAGAACTCACACATATAAATTGCCTCACATAACATTCGTGTCAACTTCCAAACCCGTCTGGTTCCCATAGCAACACGGGATAGAAAGCAAGTGTCGAGCAACCGGTACAGCAAGCAATTGTGTGGCACGTGACCAACAGATGTAGGTCACCCACTTCTCGTTAAGCACGTGAAGGGTACCGCAGACAGTGCATACGATTAGAAACCTTTGACGTAAAGTAATATATATATATAGCCATATATACTTCATTCGCACGTCGACATCCGTGGCCCCTTTCGGTTTTAGTTGATTTCAATTTTTTTTTATTCAGTTGCCCTCCTAATCTTGAACTAAATACACAGAAACACACATTTTTGACCTAGTTCACTTTCGTTGACAATGACACGGTTAGCGTGTCTCACACCAAAGTTATCAGAGAGAGTTTTCTAATGAAGAATGATTAACGTTAGGTTTTACTTCTAAACAATTGCCAGGGTATCGTTTGAATGATTTGTTTTTCGAACACAGTAAAGTATTAAATATATATATATATATACCTTTCCTATTGGATGATTTCCCCGAAAGGGGGCCTAAGACTGCCTATAGGGGGGGTCACCTGTTTTAACCACTCGCATCACAATACAGTAGTATGTTGTCTGTCAGTCAGTCGGAAGACACTAAAATGATGTTACATAAGGGACGATTAACGCTGCGATTTGCACTGTCGTGACGTCAGTAAAACGTGTGCGTACCGTGAATCACGAGAAGAATTATACGCTCCGTAGGCTACAACACGGTATGACATATGAACTTCAAAATCAAGAAATACAACTATATGTTACCCTTAATTTTGGTTTTATTAACAGAACACTTTCGGGGACCCTGCGGAAGTACATTTGGTAAATAAATATATATTTATAGGTGTGTATGTAGGTCCTTAAACATGAAGAACTGTAGAAGCAGACGCACATTTATTTTCATCTAATTATAACTTACATATAACTTTGTTTGTTTGTTGTTAAGCGCAAAGACAATGGGCTATCAATGGGTATCGAAACCCGGGTTTTAGCACTATAAGTCCACAGACTTGCCACTGGGGGAGGGAGGCAGCACAAAACGTACTGTATTTCTAATTGTATAAATTTCTTATAAATGTAACTCTTGATGATCTTTTATTTAATGCTAACGATACATAGATAGGTTTATTTAGGGGAGTCAAAGGGGTCCAGACCCCCACTGAGAAGTTCCCTTTCTTTATAATATTTTTTGGCAAGCTTGATTTACCGGCGATTTTATTTATATTGGGATTATATAACTTACTTCACCAGAAATAAAAATGTTTGCAGAAATTATCTATTAAATCGGGTAGTGATCCTGTAACCTCTCCCCTCCTCCCCATCCTACGTAGAAAGTGTAGTTATGGTCATTTTTTTAACATTCTGAAATTCAAAACTGAAGCTGGTCTGTTTCGTATATATAATATCGTATACGTTCCACAACTTTGAATTGAATACGACTTCCCTTGAAAAAATTCAGCGGTACAAATGGTTTTACCGTCAGATTCCTGGTTTGGTCAAGGCATATATATATATATGTGTGTGTGTGTGTGTGTGTGTATATATATATGTGTGTGTGTGTGTGTTTTCGGAATGTAAAGGTTTACAATATTGTTCCAGTGTGAACTGTTTAATAATTCCACCCAAATAAAGGGCTTATATTTTACTATTGTAAACCGAGTCAAAGTCTAAGAGCTATGGTTTGTTATTATTCTATTTATGATTGGAATTAAGGCCGAAAATGTCGCTAGCAGCGAGGGCATTTAAGTACTGACTCAATACATTCTAATCAACGATTATAATTCTAATCCATTATATTGAACTAGCAAAATCTATTAATAAGCTTATACCTAATTTTGATCTGCGTAGGTAGCATGTTTTGAATTAGAATTTAATCTATTTAGAGGCGTGAGTGGTATTGTTTCAATGTGCAATCTGCAGCCACAAGTCCGAGCCCCCCCCCCCCCCCCCCC